ACTCCAGGGTATGTAAATAAGAACGGGTGAAGGGTTCAAAGAGTATGCTCAAAAATGGAGAGACCTTGCCGGAAGGGTGCAACCACCGTTGGCTGATCGTGAGCTTGTTGACATGTTTCTGGGGACCCTGTCTGGTCCGTTCTTTAACCATCTGATTGGAAGCTCTTCAGCTGGGTTTAGAGATCTTATTTTGACTGGTGAGAGGATTGAAGCTGGTATTAAGGCTGGGAAGATACAGAAGGGTGCCTCATCGAGCACCGAGAAGAAACCGTTTAAGAAAGAGTCCAGTGTTGTCTACAGTTCGAGAAGACAGAATAAACCTGAACACCGCCAAGCTGTCAACGCGGTTGTTATTTCAAAACCTGCTGGTGCTCCTCAGCATCACAATCAACAAAAGGACGAGAGACCTCGAAGGCAATTCACTCGTCTCAACATGACTTTGTCTCAGATTCTGCCACAGTTGCTGAAGACTAATCTGGTGACCCTAAAAGAAGCTCCGAAGAATCCAAGTACCACATCACCAAAGTATAACCCTAACGCCCGCTGCGCTTTTCACTCTGATAGCCCGGGGCATAATACAGATGATTGTTGGGTTTTGAGGAACATGGTGCAAGACCTAATTGATGCAAAGGAGATTGAGTTTGAGGCGCCCGAGAGGCCTAATGTTGTGACTTCTCCCATGCCCAAACATGGAGTAAATGTTGTAGAGGAAGACTTGTTTGTAGTTTCTGTGGATGATATTGTTACCCCTCTGATGACTGTCAAGAAGAACCTGTTGCTAGCCGGTTTATTTCCGGGCTGTGGCGAAGGTTGCCGTAGGTGTTCTGTTTTACCTACTGGTTGCCCATTTCTGAAGTCAGGTATCCAAAACCTGATGGATAATAAGGAGATCCTGTTTGAGAAGATTGTTGTTCCTTCCATTCCTACTGAAGAAGTTTCCATCATTACCATTTTCAACAATTCTTCCAAGGTTCCCTCGAGGAAGCCTGTTAGAATTACATCTGTTCCGAAGATCGCGCCTGTAATCATCACTGTTCCGGGGCCCATCCCCTACACCTCTGACAAAGCTGTCCCTTGGCACTATGGGGCAGATGTTTATGTTCTAAGAGTCAAGCAAGAGTTGGATGCTGATACTGGCGTCATCAACATTACTGGGCCTGCTAAAGTCACCCGCAGCGGTAGACTTTTCTCACCTGATATTGCTCCACCAACTGTCCGAAGACCTGTTGTCATTACACCTGCAAGTGTACCTATCACTATTCCTGATCAAGTTCCTATCCTTACCCCTGTCGCCGAGTCATCCAACGCTCGGGGCAAAGGGATCACCACTGATATGCCTGTCCAGACGGAGGCACCGAAGACTATTACTGTTGAAGCTTCCAAACAGGAGATGGAAGAGATTCTGAAGATTATTAAGAAGAGTGATTATAACATAGTTGAGCAACTGGGGCAAACCCCATCCAAGATTTCTATGTTGTCACTGTTGTTGTGTTCAGAGGCCTATGCCAAGGCTCTGATTACCTTCCTGAAGACTGCCCACGTGCCACAAGAGACATCAGCTGATCAGTTTACTGATTGTGTGGCCAATTTAACTGCTGATAATGGTTTGGGTTTTTCCGACGCTGATTTGACTGTCAAGGGGAAAAATCATAACGATGCCCTTCATGTCTCCATTAAATGCAGGGGCACTACTCTTGCACATGTATTGGTTGACACTTGTTCCTCATTGAACGTCTTGCCCAAGAAAGCTCTAGACCGGTTGGATTGCAAAGGGTTAGAGCTAACGCCAAGTAACATCATTGTCAAGGCCTTTGACGGGTCTAAAAGGATGGTGCATGGTGAAGTTGATATTCCAATTAAAGTTGGTTCTCAGGTCTTCAATTCTACATTCTACGTGATGGACATTCGGCCATCCTATTCTTGTTTGCTGGGTCGTCCATGGATCCACAAAGCTGGAGCTGTAACCTCAAAGCTCCACCAGAAGCTGAAGTACCCAGTCAGAGGGAAGATTGTGACAGTACAAGGGGAGGAAGAGTATATGGTCAGCCACCTCAACTCGTTCAGATACTTAGAGATGGATGGGGAGTTCATTGAGACCCCATTTCAGCATTTTGAAGAGGTTCCTCAGACACTGGCATCAGCTGAGACTGTGGTTGAAGATTCTCCTATGAAGATGGCTTCCTTAAAGGATGCCCGGGCTGATATTGAGAAGGGTGAGTGTGCAAATTGGGGCCGACTTCTTGATTTCACTCAGAAGACTAACAAGTTTGGTTTGGGTTTCACTGCAGAAGCTCAAAGGGTTGTTCGTAATGCAAGGATCGGAAGACCTCCCGTGTTCATCAGCAACTCGGGAGTAAATGCCATTGAAGATGATGTGGAGGAGTCTGAATTCGACAGCTGGATCTATCCTACGGCCGACGATGGACCAAACAACTGGATAGCAAAGGACTTCATCCCTATTACTTTTGTTAACCAGTAATGAATTCTTTGTTTTGAATTTGTAACAGACAATGTTTTGAAACTTTATGGCCCGATGTCTTACCCAGGGCACCGTGGCTTCATTTGTGAGGGCTTTTGTGTGCCATTTTCATATATCATTAATAAAAGCATTGGACGTCTTTTGCATTTCAAATTTTGCGCTCCTTGTTTTTCTTTATTATATGTTGCAAAACAGCTATTTTACACACACTCACATATACAGGTCTGTAATACCCCAAATTTGTCCCACCCTTCTACTTTTATCTGGTTTATGCATTGTCGCACTTTTCTCATGTACGTATCTCCATTAGGTCATTTAACATTGCATACACTCGCTAACAACGTAATTTGGCATGAGATCGGAGATCTTGAAGGATTCGGGTTTTGCAGTGGCTAAGGCGTTCATATCCAGTAAAGGTCGATTCCTTTTGTAGAGGCATTAAGGTTGTGATTTATGGTTATTGAGATTTCCTTCTCCTTAAGCTACGAAGCTATTTATCTCCATGTTAACAGCAGGTCACCGGGTTTTCCTCTTCAGAGCTAGGAATCTAGGTTTTATATCCTATTTTACTCGGGTTTGTCAACATTTTTACTGGATGTTTGATGGATGGAAAAACAAACATGATGAGAGAGGAAATTATGCAGCGTAGCAGAAAATGCATAGGAAGAATTTGTATCAGGAAAATAATGGAAAAAAATAACAATAAGTTGGAATTAACCCCCTAACTATTATAACAGGAAGTCTAGAAAAATCCATAACCAATTTTTCTAACTATTCATACTAGGAAAAAAAATCGACTAAAGGAGTTTTTGATCGGGGTTATTTGTTAAAGGTCCCAAACATGAGGAAATTTGCTGAGTTGTTGGGAAAAATCGAAAGAATCGGCCGAATTTGAAGTTTCTCGCATTTTTAGTGATATGGGCTCTTAATAATTTTTAGAAGATTTTTCAAAATATGGTAAACTTCATGGCTATTTTTGAGGTCCCGTTTAGACTCAAATGCAAAATCTCCGAACATGAAAGTTGAATATCAGATTCTCCTCTCCAGTTTTGATTCAAGAATCGTACTATTCAGAGGTTCGTAGAGAAAGTTATGATGTTTACATTTTGAAGGCTTGAAAGGTAAAATGCTGCCAAGACTTGCCTTGCCTGGCCAACATTTCATCGAGCAGGTGGCAGGCACATGTTTAGGACGTTTTTTATCATGGATTTACGTCTCGTTTCGAAATATGTCGAACATGAAAGTTGGAGTGTGTCACACACTCTTCATTTTTGGTTCAAACTTCGTCTTGTTTTGTGCACCGTGGAAAGAAATATCGAAGCGCAAAGTAGGAGGATTGAAGAGGACGAGAGGTAGGTGCCACGCATGGAATTTGTAATGCCAAGCCTGGCATTTTGTCGAATAGTTGCAAGGCATATACTTATGGCATTTTTCTTTACGATTAAGGCCGTGTCCGGATTGGAAGCAAACTGTGAACTTGTTATATCATTTGTCCTCTTTCCAACGGTATCAAATTTATGGCGTTTGGATCATCATTGGGAAAGTTACGAGATTTTGAAGTCGTGGTGATGGAATTGAGTTCTGCATGGTGAGTTTCCAGTTATCGCGAACAGTTTTGGTACCACGGCTTCACGATCATTTTTTTTTATGTTTCGAGAGTTAGCTCAAGAAATTTTCCAACATGAATGTTGTTTAGGGAAATTCACTCTTCAACTTTTATGTTGAGACTTTATCTTGAAGAACGCTATATCTCGAGTTATTGAATCATGAAAAGGAGGTTGGAGCATTGACGGGAAATTGTCGGTAATGACAGAATTGCCGGTGTTTATTTCAGTTACGGTTTCATAATTTCAAGACCATCTTAGGACGGGCTATGGTCGTTATTTCGAGGCGAGGCCAACACGAAGAATGTTCCTTGATACGTCCTCTTTTTAATGTTATCAAGATCGCGCCGAAAGGAGTGTTATAGCGCAAGATATACAAGCATGAAGGCGGTCATGTGACCATGCATAATAACATAATCTTTTGAAAAAAAGGCCACTGTATCATAATTCCGTATGCATGGGATGACAGTTTTGATGGCCATGCAATAATTAGTTACTGCATGTATAATGATAGTAACTATAAGGAGCCTTTGCTATTTTTTTAATCCAAAAGACCGTAACAAACTGTCGGCAACAAAAAAGTTTTGGCTCATGCTCGCGATGGTAACAAGAATAACTTGGCTCATAACAGAATGTAACAAACTTTCTCTCATTTGCAACAACCTCACCCTCTTCATAACAGTAACACTCCCATTCTCTCTTTCTTTTTTTCCATGACATTAACCACCATAACAGAAACGAACCTCAACCTCTCTCTCTCCTCCATCTATCATCTTCAACCATGAGAAATCAGAAAAAAAAACTGGCTCTCTACCGTAACAACCTCACTCTTTTTCTTTCATCTTCAAAATCATCATCATTACCGAATTGTTCGGGCTGAATGCCTCAAGACTGCATCTCTAAAGCATAGTCGTTTCTTACCATCTCTCTCTCTCGATCGTCCGTAACCTTGAGATTTCCTTCTTCTTATCTACAAAAGGAAGCTTTGCTTCACTTTTACTTGGCATCAAGAACGCCGTATCGCCCAGTTCTGCATCATCTTCCTCAAGCTTTAAAGTCGGCTTTCGCGCTTTCACATCAAATCTGAAGAATATTTGGATCATGTTCATCATATCGAAGGCAGGCGAAAGCAGTCGCGGAGTTATCTGAAGAAAAGAGAAGTGGTCTTCGCTTATGTCAATCTTCTTGAAACTCTCCTCTAATCTTGTGCATCCTGCTAGATCTTAATCGCTTGTTAGTAGCATCAATGTAAGCGACGTCTAGAAGTCCTTCTTTCGGAGGTACACTTTGTGCAGCAAGAATACATGGCGAGATCTTGGATTTCTGAGTTGTGAGATATTGTATGATGGAATAGAGATCTGGAAATTTGAAGCTCATCTTTACGTTTTATGGACAAAATCGAGTGGGAGAGTATCGTCGGCTTGGCTTTTTTTTTCTCGTTCATGCTCCATCACTACCGGCGAATACACCACCGGAGAAGGTGGTGGAAGCCGCCGTCTGATTTTGTGATATGAATATTTTCCTTAGACATGGCTGATTCTTATTAGTTCATGAATCTTCATCATTAGCCAATCAAATCGCGTTTCTTTTATTACTGGAATTGCTTTTCTTTTTTATTTTTTTTAAGAACATTTATGTTGTGGTTTATCTGCAGCTTAGTAAAGAAATGCAAATGGTTGGACACAAAAAAAAGGGGCGTGGCATATTAAATGAGCAAAAAAAAAAGTTGGAAGGTTATTGTTTTTGGAGCAAATAGGCTTAGGAGTAGTTTCAAATTTGGGCCTAATAAATTTGTGATTACACTCCCTTATTAATGGATCTGAATGCCCATTTGACTAGAATTAGTGCAAATAGGAGATTTGGTTATACACCTCCTGGCAGATTCTATATAAATTTGATGCTTATCCGTTTTAGTACATAATTTTCGATTTTTCTTTAGTCTATAAAAAAATCTAAAAAATAATAAATTCAAATATAAAAATTTGTTAGTTTTTATTTGAGATTTTAGGAATTTAATTCCGATTGTCCGATGATATTTTAGATCGGTAATTCACTTTTTCTTGTTGAGATTTGAGTCTTATGCAGGTTTATTGTGCGATATGAAAATGCGCTTGAGATTTCGATTGTGATTTATTTTCACATCGACGATGCGTCGACATTTATTCCGAGCATTTGATTTCTGACTCTTTTCTTTGATTGGTGAAGCTTTCACGAAGGTCGTCGGGTTTCTTTGTTTTGATAGGCTTTGCTACGGATTGATATCTATTTGGTATTCTCTCTTGTTTATCTCATTTCAGCACTTTACTGCTTTCTAGATATCATGAGAAGTAGGAAATAAAGAGCGTGCGCTCGAAGTCGCTGTTTAAAGACCTGTGGCAGGCATTCCGCACTTCATTTGCTATATGTGTTGTGCTTGTGTTTGTTTACTTTCTTGTCGATCGATGAGTCACTCAATTTAGCAATTGAGGTCACGACTTCGCTCTCAGTGCATGCTCCCTATAGGACTTTATCGCTTTCCATTCTTTCTTGTTGATCGATGAGTCACTCAATTTAGCAATTGAGATCACGACTTCGCTCTCATTGCATGCTCCCTATAGGATATTTTTTAGACTTTTCTTCGACATGCTAACCTAGGCAGGATCCCTTTAGGTGTGCTTCCTTTTTGCTGGCTTGTTTGCTTTATCCTTGTACATACCATGTTCCCTTAGGATGCGCTTGCTTCGTTCAGACGCAAGTTAGACCTTAGGTTGTAAACCATGCATGCTGACATTAGGTAGAAACTTCCCCTTTCATCCTTGACGTAGGACTACTATTGCATGATAACATTAGGTTTAGAAATAGGCTAGTCTCCCTTAGACTCTTTTCTTCCCCCTTTTGCATGTGCATCTAAAACAAAAACTCATTTTCTTAGCAAATCAAAAACATGCTAACAACACTTAAACCCTTTTTCAAGGTAACAAAAATACAAAACAAATTCAAACCATTTTGTGGGCTCGAGCACCTTCTTTCTAAAACCCTTTTCAGGTAAGGACATGATTAGTTTACTTCTGTGCCAACACATAAGTCTCCAAAGGTCGAGCTGCGGCAGAAGGCGGAATTAACATTGTCCATAAAAAACACAAACAAACAAAAACATGTGAGCCGAACTACGGTAGCTCTGATTCCTCAAAACGGATACGTAGGCATTGGGGTAGGGCCCAGGCGAGCACAATTTTATTTTCCCTACATTCTTTTCTCTTTTATTTTGCATGCATTCCCTTCAGTAGTATAATATACAGTAAGCATAGATTAAACACACCCATAAGATAGATAACAAGAGTGGATACCGTAGAGTACTACGGGCGTGTGGGGTGCTAATACCTTCCCCTCGCGTAACAGACTCCCTTACTCGATCTCTCGGTCGCAAGACCGTGACTTCTCCCTTCTCAGGTTTTCTCGATGTTTACCTTTCCCTACATGTGGGATAAAAGACGTTCGATGGCGACTTCATTGTTTTGATGATTTTCAGCCGGTTGTTTCAGCTGGCGACTTCACTAGGGAATAGGTCGACCAAATGTTGGTCCATCCCGGAGTCGCTCCTAGCTCTTGCTTTCTTTTCTTTGGGTGTTTATCTTTATGCTTTCAGTTTATTCATTCATTTTGTATATACTTGAGCATATGTATGCATTGCATTTTATTGTCTTCCATATACTACTGTTGTACTGGATCTGCTTCTTGTTGGGTGGGTATTACTATGAGGTAAAAGGCCCAATACCCAGGCCAGAGTTGTATACCATAGGAACCCTAGGAATAGAGTGGAACATGAACGGCTAGTTGAATTAGGTCTCTCTATCGCCACCATGTCGTCCACGCTCAGATAAGGTACAAATAGGGGGCTATCGTTTTCACTTAGGTGATACGGCGATAGTTTTTCAGGAGTACCCTCGATTCTGAGTTACCACTGCCTTACCCTGACCTAGTTTTCACCCGTGAGCGGGGGGGGGGGGGGGGGGAATTATTATTACAGGTACAGATGGTGACTGTGTTCGGATGGTTACTCATATTCGGATAGTGACTGTACCCAGACAGCGACTATCGAATCTAATGGATATGCTCTGGAATTCTGTCAATGATTAAGAGGTTCTCAGATTTATTTTGAGTCCTGAATCTGTTCATAAGATTACATGGTTTATGTTCCGGACCTAAGATCCTGATACTCACATATTACGCGGAGGCAGTACAACAGAAATTGGTATCATGGAAGTAGTAACCCCATGGTCATTTTGCATTTACATCATAACATGTTTATTTCTCAAAAAAAAAGAAATGTCAGAAAGATGAAATTATCAACCTTGCATATGCATGTCCACTTTGGATACCTCTCTGGCATAATTTTCGTCAGTAACATTTGGCAACAGTGATGTTCTCAAAAGAACCAAAGGAGACAATCATATTTATCTATACTACTCAAGTTTTTCGCTCAAGTTCTTGGCCTTCTTCGAAGAGTCTAAAGGACCATTTTGGTCATTTTTGACCCTACTTCAGTCTTATAGCTACAGGTTACACATTCTAGGACTGTCAAATTGTTTCAATTTCGGAAGGACGATCCTGTTTGCTGAGAACCTACCTGTTGCCAAATCTGGCAGGGGCAAGATTTTGAAACTATCGCTAAGGCACTTTATTTGAGCCTAAGCGGTATAAATGAAAAATAGTAACCTACCCCCGAACTGATCATTATTATTGCCAATAAACAGAGTTTCCCATCTTATACTCCCATAACCTTCTTATATTCAATCCTGTGAGAATTTCTCTTATCTTTGGGATGTTTTCTTCATATGGTCGTTCTTGTCATCATGTTGCTCGATTACGGTTGACGGTAATTAAACCATGGAGAGCCAGAGTGGACAATCATTTCATACATCATACATATCATGCATTTCATGAATTGCAGGTTTTCTGGCGGGAATTCTTATCTGACGGTTTTGCCTTTTTATTAGAGAATCTACAAGACGACTTCCTTACATCCTTATTGCACTCGAGCCAACAAGTTGAGGATCATGGAACAGATTGAGCAGAACCAGGCCTCTCTCCGTAAAGACATGGACACTATGGGTGACCGGATGAATCAACTCATGGAAACTCTTCATGCCGTCATCCAGGGGCAGGAAGAACTCAGAATAAGCGTCACAAAACTGGTAGACGGTGCCTCCACATCCGAGAATGGAGGACCCAAGAATGACCATGGGGGGATTCCTAAGGAGAACCCACGACTGATTATGGATGACCACCATGATGTCATTGATCTCGATGACCCTCTAAAGGATTCTACGGCTGATTTGTATGAAACTTCTAAGATGTACAAGGCTTTGGAAGAACGCTTAAAGGCTATGGAGACTTATAAGAAACCAGGATTCAGCGCCGTTGCTATGTGTTTAGTTCCAGGGGTTGTGATTCCACCGAAGTTTAAGGTACCTGATTTCGACAAGTATAAGGGGGTTACATGCCCAGAGACTCATCTCCGATCTTACTGCAGAAAGATGGCTGCTTATGCTAGCAATGAGCCATTGCTTATGCATTTCTTTCAGGACAGTCTTGCTGAAGCTCCATTAGAGTGGTACATGCAGTTGGAACAAACTCATGTTAGTAATTGGAGTGAGATTGTTGATGCTTTCTTAAAACATTATCACTACAACACCGCCATGGCACCCAGCCGTGCACAGCTGCAGAGTACGTCTCAAAAGACTGGTGAGTCTTTCAAAAAGTACGCCCAGAGATGGCGCAGTTTGGCCGCAAGAGTTCAACCTCCTCTCCTAGATCGGGAACTAGTGGATTTGTTCATGAGTACCCTTCGAGGCCCGTATTTGCAACATATGCTCAATAGTACTTCTGACTCGTTTTCAGATATGGTCATCATCGGGGAACGGGTTGAAATGTGTGTTAAGGTAGGAACTATTCCGGGCGCATCTGGCACAAATGGTAACAACAACTCAGCTGGTGGGAAGAAACCATACTCTAGCGGTTTCGTCAAGAAAAAAGAAGGAGAGGTAAGCAATACCTCTGATGATAAAGGGAAAGCTATTGTACAGGTTCCGTATTACCAAACCCCTGCTGTTACTCCTCAGCAACAGTATGCACCGCCGCAAAACTATCAACAGAACCAAAGGCCCCAGGGGCAGAGGGGTCAATAAAGGCAGCAAAGGTACCTCAAAAGGAGGATCGATCCAATCCCGATGTCGTATGCTCAGTTGCTTCCACAATTGCTAGCCGGTCAGTTAGTACAACTTCAAGAGTTAGCTCCTCCGCCAGCAGAACTCCCAAGGGGTTATGATGTTAACGCACGTTGTGAATTCCATTCGGGTGCTCCAGGCCACTCGATCGAAAATTGCAAAGCTTTAAAATACAAGGTGCAATCTTATTTAGATGCCAAGGAGTTAAGCTTCGCTCCTATAGGCCCTAATGTTCAGAATAATCCTATGCCTCCCCACCATGGGGCTGCTGCCAATGCTATTGGGTTTGACAATGACCATGACTTAGTGACTCAAGTTGAAGAGG